ACGATTAATGTCGCTAAAACTCTTAAGCACATCATTATAAAACATTGTCATCCGATGACGAATCAAATAAATAAAGGTGTTAGAAACTTACACGAGAACGGACTGTATCAAAAATGGATCAACGATTTGGAGTTAATGTACCAGTTAGAACGCAAAAATAATGATACTGATGGAGCAAATTATATGGAATCCAACGTGCCACTTGTGTTGACATTGGAAGATTATAAAAGTGCTTTTATTCTTTGGTTTTCAGGTTTATTACTTTCATCAGTGTGTTTCTTACTTGAAAATGTTGTTATAAAATTGCAATTATTTAAAAAGTAGAAGTAAATAAAAAAGTGTTCCTATGAAATAACTTTTGGTATACCTTTGTACAGGCCTCTCAATTCATTTTCTTCTTCTTCTCCTGATCCTTAGGCTTGTTGGCGTCGGATAAATCTTTTTTCTATTCCTCCATCCACCTCTTCCACTCCCTCCGGTTCCTGGCTAATTCCTTTATGTCTGCTAGAGTTTTCTCTCTCTTCTTCCCAACTTCTACTATTCTTTCCTCCCACTTCTTCCTAGGTCTTCCCCTCCTTTTCTTATCCTTGTGTTATGTTCCATTCTAATTATGTTGACGTACCAGTTTAGTTACTTTCTCTCTATTTTGTTGATTATCTCCTTTTGACCTACTACCCCTCTTATTTCTTCATTCCTTATCCTATCCCACTTCGTCTTCCCCATTATTTTCCGTACAAATTTCATTTCCAGTGCTAGATCACAGCAATGGAAAATAATAATATTGCGACTGCCACCAAATTGTACACTTTCAATTTTATCTTTCTATCTTCTTTCTGCTTAGAGTTAATACAGGGTGATTCATTAGCTCTATGACAAACTTTGGCAGATGAAAGGTGATGCGATTCTAAGGAAAAAATGTTATATGAATATGGGTCCGATTCATTTTGGTTAAAGAGTTACAAGTCTTTAAAAATTTTACACAGTTTAATAGGCAAATGAAAATGTAACATAAAAAATAAGTTTAAAAATTACAAAAATTGTTCGAAATGTCCGCCTTCAGCTTGAATGCACGCCTCACATCGACGAAGTAAAGATTTGCAACAATCGCAACAATAATTATGAAACACAAATACAGAGTTGGCCGTGATAACAAAACTGAGTTCTTTATGTCAAACATTTCAATTTACTCTATTCTGTGTGTTTCAAAGTTTATAATTGTCAGAGTTTTGATCGAAAACGAAAATGCATGTATTTACGACTGAAGAATATGCAGATATTATTTTTGTATACGGGCTTTGTAACGGAAACGCTCGGCAAGCAGCAAGAGAATACCTTCGTAGGTTTCCAAATAGACATCAACCTGCCCATACAGTGTTTAGTGCATCATTTCGCAGACTGAGAGAAACAGGTAACCCCGCTCCACTACATTCCGTTCGTCCCCATGATGTGAATGTACAAAATGAAGAACGTGTTATTGATTTAGTACTTGACGACCCTTCAATTAGTACTCGGCGTATAGCGAGCATGTTACAAATATCCCAAAGTTTTGTATGGCGTGTATTGAATCGAGAAATGTTACATCCGTTTCATCGCCAAAATGTTCAAGCATTACATCCTGGAGATACTGAGCAACGCTTAGCATTTTGCCACTGGATTATTCAGCAACATGCTCAAAATAATAACTTCATTTCCCAAGTTCTGTGGTCTGATGAAGCGTGTTTCACTAGGGACGGCATAAATAATTATCATAACGAACATGTGTGGTCCTTGCAAAATCCACATGCAATTAGACCAGGAAGATTTCAGCAACGGTTTAGTGTAAACGTTTGGGGTGGCATTTTTAACAATTCTTTGCTACCTGTATGGGTGATAAATGAACGCTTAAATGCAAATATGTACAGAAATTTCTTGGGACATAACCTTTTCGATTTTATCGACGACGTACCACTTAACATCGTTCAAAATATGTGGTATCAGCACGATGGTGCACCACCACATCGAGGAAGAGAAGTCATCGCTTGGTTACATGAACATTTTCCAAACAAATGGATTGGCAATGGAGGTCCAGTAGTCTGGCCACCACGATCCCCAGATCTAAATCCGCTGGATTATTATTTCTGGGGACACATGAAGCAGCTTGTGTACCATGTAGAAATTACTACCCGTCAGCAACTACTGGACAGAATTCAAGATGCAGCTAATAGCATACGGAATGATCCAAATATCATACGTCGTGTGATACAATCTTTACTTCGTCGATGTGAACAATTTCGTCGAATTTCGAACAATTTTTGTAATTTTTAAACTTATTTTTTATGTTACATTTTCATTTGCCTATTAAACTGTGTAAAATTTTCAAAGGCTTGTAACTCTTTAACCAAAATGAATCGGACCCATATTCATATAACATTTTTTCCTTAGAATCGCATCACCTTTCATCTTCCAAAGTTTGTCATAGAGCTAATGAATCACCCTGTATATGTTGTTAGTTTCCTTTATTCTTGCATTTTTGTCTAAATCTATCTTTCCATCTTGTGATATTAGATATTATACTGCCCAAGTACTCATATGATGATATTTCTTCTATCTTTTATTTCTTAATAGATATTTCTTTCGGGTTATTTCATATTTCCTTTTTATTTATTATCACAATTTTACATTTAATAAATTAAATTTAACGTTTAATTCTAGGCCAATCTTTTCAATTTCTTCTGTCCATATTTCAATCAATTTCGTTGCCTTTTTATAGTTCTCTGCTGTCAGCACTATGTCGTTAGCATATAAGTTCTTGTTCTTATATTTTTTATCACTCTGTCCATTAATATTATAAATAACTAGGGACTTATGCTATCGCCTTGTTTTATTTCGTTGCTCATTTCTTCGGTTGCCATGTGTGTAGTGTCTTTCCATATCTCATCTTTCTTTCCCTCCTGTTGTTTTGTGTCCAAAACGGACACAAACAATGGTGTGTCCGTTTTCCATCCTTGAACTTTTCTGCATAAAAATCCGCCCGTATGTCCAGAATTTTTTTGTAGTTATCTTTATCTCGTTGTTTTTATCTCGACGGTTTATTTGTTTCCTTTGATCTCCCTTCAGTATTCTTATTTGATTCCAGAATTTCCTGTTATTCGATCCGTATGTTTCACTTAAGTTTGTTCCGAACTCTTCCCAACTTTTCTCTTTCGCCTCCCTTACCATATTCTTAGCTACATCTCTGTTCGTTCTAATTTTTTCGTTGTTTGTTTTTTCTTGGTATTTTTGTTTTTTTTTCCTCCTGCCTTAGTTTATGCTTCAGTCGTAGATAAAATGAACTCTCTCAGCTCTATCCGGGGAAGATGATTCAATAAGGAAACTTTTAACTTTAATTGATGGTATGAATCATTTCTTTATACACAGAAATGAATATAAAAGAATGTTTTTCTTTTAAGTTTACGTACTAACTATTGTATTTTGAAAAAATTAAAATTTAGCTTTCCTTAAAGTTTATGTTCAGTTTTTATGAATTTACCAATGTAGTTAAAATTTAGGCTTCCAGTTTATAAGTCATATTTCAAGCGCTTCTAATAAAACTTAATCAGTTATATATCGTTTAACCTTTTGCATCCAGCTACCTACAAGAAAATTAAGATGGACTCGATCGAGAAGACAGTAAGAAAAATAAAGAATTGGTGAAATCTACACTAATACCAGCAGAACAACAGAAAATTTTGTTTGTACGGGTCCCAGTACGACCAAAACATTATGGATTATCTAAAATCCTTAAACCTGATGCTGTATTGGCAGTACCATAAATCCTCGTACGTACCAGCAGGCGAATCATAATTTTGTCTCAAAAACTAATCATAAAATAAAAAAACACAATTTAAAGCAAATTTATATAATATTTAATATTCTCCAGATCATTTCTTGAAATCTTCAAATTTCTGAGTTATAATTTTGTGACCATAACGTTACATAACCTTAAACATAAATGTTAGGATAATTAAACCTCACGTATCTCAAACACAAATTAAGATTTTTTTAGTATCTAATACTTTGAAAATCATTTCTTGGAATCTTCAAATTTCGGAGTTAAGATTATTTGAACGCAACCTTGCATAATGTTAGGGTAATTAACCTTTAAGTATCTCAAAAACTAATTGACATATCGTTATGAAATAAAAACCAATTTAAAGGAAATTTATAAAATTTTTAATACATTCCAGATCATTTCTTGAAATCATCAAATCTCTGAGTTATAATTGTTTGATCATAACGTTGTATAACCTTAAACATAAATGTTAGGATAATTAATCCTTACGTATCTCAAACACAAATTGAGATATCGATATGAAATAAAATCAATTTAAAGCAAATTTGTTTAATATCTAATACTTTAAAGATCTCCATATTTCGGAGTTATGATTTTTTCACCGCAACCTTACATAATATTAAACATAAATGGTAGGATAATTAATCTTTACGTATCTCAAGAGCTAATTGAGATATCGTTATGAAATAATAAGCAATTTCAAGCAAACTTATTTTTGTATTTAATACTTTGAATACAATAAATATTTTGTATTTAATACTATGAAACTGAAAGATCATTTCTTGGAATCTTTAAATTTCGGAGTTATTATAGATTTGGCAAGCTGTACCAAAGGATAACAAGAGAGGCAATTGAGATCCATCGATATAGAAACAACTTTAACTTAAAGAATTAATTAATGAACTTTATTAACTTAATTATCTTGAACAATTTTTTAGATTGTAAAATTGCTTTGGTTAAATAAGTGAAGGTCAATTGCTCATAAAGCAAGTTTAATAAACACTAAGAAAAAATTAAAACATTGTTTCAATTATGCAAAACAATTCTTTTTGTTTTTATGCCGATAAACGAATAAAGAATTAAACAAAAGTTATTCACCTTTAATATAAAAAGATACGTGATTAATTTAGAAATTGATACAGTGAATGAACCGAAAAATTCAAAATAAACATTTAAAATTAAATATAAAAGGTTGAAAATTAGTTTTAATAAATCAGTCTACTCTAAGGTTTTTGACGAACACAACTAAAAATGGTTGCATCACAATTTTTACTTATTTATATAGTTTTGGCGGGAACGATAATAAAGGTAAATTAACTTCTTTTACTAAAAAAAATACTTATTAATTTATGTAATTTAATTATTTTAGATTGAGTCCCAAAAAATTGATTTCAAAAAAATCTTTCACACCCCAAAAAGAATTACGACGAACTTCAAATATTAGAGCGATCAAGTTTCGAACCGGACGACCATCAACAGGAGAAAACAAAACCCCAAACTGACCAAAAAAATTTAAATCATCACAACCAAGATCACCATCAACATCATTCTCAACCGAAAGCGTACGCAAACGCACAGGTTTTATTAAATTTCGATAACAACAATCACAAAGATGGACTATTAAAGAATGTTGATGAACCAAAATGTACATGTTGTTCGAAATACTTTCGTCAACAACCAATTTATCAACCATTTTTGTATCCGACGTATTATCCCGGTTATTATAATCCATATCATCATTTTAATAATTATTATCAACCATATCACCAAAGTTTTTGCATGATGCATCCTGAATATGCACTCAGAAAAAGTGATGTAGGTAAAGATTTAATTGGGGAGAGAAGTAATGATGATAAAGAGGTGATTAAGAAGGATGATTTGGAAGAAGTTAAAAGAAACCAAGAAAGTTTTAGTGAATGGCTTGAAAAAATTTTTACAACACCAAAACCGGCAAGTACAAAAAGTTATGTAACTGAAAAGGTTTCTGATACGCCAATTCATATCCCAACTTATTATCCAACTGATAAAACTACTTTGAAACCCACTTATAAGCCTACTTATAAACCGACATATTATCCAACTGAGAAAGTCACTGAAAAATCAACTGAGAAGCTGACAACTCCTGAAATACCAAGTACAACTGAAAAAATAACTCACAAACCAACTTATAAACCGACTTATTATCCAACTGAGAAAACAACTTATAAACCAACTGAAAAGGTAACTTATCCCCCTACTGAAGTGTCAACTCCTGAAACAACATACATAACTGAAAAAGTAACCCACAAACCAACTTATAAACCCACTTATTATCCAACGGAAAAAACGACTCATAAACCAACTGAAAAGGTAACTTATCCTCCTACTGAAGTATCAACTCCTGAAACAACATACACAACGGAAAAAGTAACCCACAAACCAACTTATAAACCTACTTATTATCCAACAGAAACAACTTTAAAACCAACAACCCAAGAACCAACTCATAAGCCAACCCATAAACCAACTCATAAACCAACTCATAAACCAACCCTTAAACCAACTCAGAAACCAACCCATAAACCGACTTCTAAACCAACTCATCCCCCAACTTTCAAACCAACATCAAACCCTTATCATCACCATGATAATCACCACAAATTCCCTCAAGACTACTTACATTGTCCGGATATCGATATTTTCAATTCAAACCCATGCAAAATCCGTAACTTCAAAGATTTTCAAAAACCCATTTGCAAAGAACTTTTAATAATTTTTGAAAAAATGCTTTCATGCCTCTTAAACGGCTGCGAAAAGTGTTCAATTCATTTCACAAATACTGAAAAACTACAAATAGCTGATGCTTTAAATCAAATTGTGCACCATTTAAAAGAGAAAAATTACGAAATTGATCGTGATGATTTAAAGTGGGATCGAAGTGGTGTTCTAGAGAACGTACTAACCGTATTTCCATTTAATTTAATTCTGATTAAATCGAAAGAGTGTTGTGATGATCATCGAAAAGAGGTCGTTTTGAAATATATCAAAGAGAATTATAAAGGGACGAAGAAACACGAAGAAATCGAAGAAAAATTGAAGGGAAAAATTGTTGATTTATTTTTGGAAAGTTTTCATTTAAAAAATGATGATAAAAATGGTTATTGTGATTTTGTTGAAGATTATTTGACGAGAAGAATTGATTGTAATAACGATTTAAGTGAGCTTTTTATGAAGTTAATCAAAGAGTTAAAAATGCCGAAAGAAATTTTTGAAATTAACACCAAAAACGATAACGATTTAATCGATTGTTTAATGAGGGGTATTTTTAAATGTCCGAGTTGCGCTCAAAATGATAAAAAGGATTGCTTTAAATTGAACGAGAATGTTTTACGAAAAACCCATCAACTTTTCTTGTGCAATTTCGCGAAAAGATTATGCGAAAGATATCCGGGAGTTGAAGATCTTGAGAACTTGTTGAGTTTTTGTAAAACTGAATGTGGTTGTCAAGAAATCGAAAAGATCGATATTAGAAGTAGTGGTTATGATATTTTAAAAAGTGATGATAAAGATTTATTTGCTTGTCCTGGATGTAACGGTAACGGAAAGTTTCCTGTTGATATGGATGCTTTGATGGATGGAAATGGAATTGGAAATACTATTCAAAAAGAACATGAAAATAATGATGGGAAAGAAATTTGTAAATCATGTACTAAGTACACCAAAGAGTTGAATGATTTTTAAACTTAGTTTTTTCTTTTAATTTGAAGATGTGTTCAAAATAATAATAAATACACAAGAATTATTTGCTTTACATATTTTACTCTCTAAACTGGTTCTTAACACCTTAAGGTACACCTCCGGGTTTCAGAGGCTTAAACACCATATTTTCTCAATGTAATAAATAAGTTATTATATTAAAAGTTTTATGCATATAATATAGCTACATTTACGATTAGACAATATTTTAGAAAGTTTCATTCGAAAATTTTTCAGAATTCAGCCAATGGTATCTGGTTTTCGAAAAAGAACTTAGTAGATAAGTATAGCTAGATATTAAACAGTGGATTTTTAAAATTTAAAATATTTTAAAATTTTGGGTACAATTTTCACTACGTAAAGCTGTGTATCTAATAATTTATTTAATATCTAGCTAATATTAGTCTGAACAAGTGTACAGAGCTTCTATACGATCGATGTATTTGTTTCTGAGTAATCGTGTCTACCGATTTTAAAAAGAGTTTTGAGAAAAACGTGTTAAATGTTTTAAGTACGAATAGAAATGTTTGTTCTAATCGAAAGAAATGGAAAAGCCCTCGGCAAATCACTACTTATTGTTAGTCAATCTTATTTTGAAGAAGTGTGCAAAACTTCAACAAAATCGGTGCAATAGTTCTTGAGTAATCGTGTCCGCCGACTTCAAACGGGCGCTTTTAGAAGAAAATTAGGCAAAAGGTAAAAATAAACCGAACAACAAATTTTTTATCTGCTATCAAGGTCGGTACTGAACAAGAACCGCACTCCAGCACTAATACTGAAACTAACACTAGCACTATCTCTCAAACTTTCGGCGTTCAAATAGAATCGTCGATTCCAGCTCCGTAAAGCAAAGATCCTGCTGCTGCTGCATTGTCAAGGGTATCCTGGTTCTTGCCTAAAGGCGCGTTCTCACGAGTCAAGTTTAGTTGATCGATTTTAGTTGATCAACAAAAGTTGAATAAAAACTGTAGTGAGAACCTTTCTTTCAATAGAGTTGATCAACTTTCTAGTTGATCAAGAAAAGTTTGATCCAGTCAAACTTTTGTCGTTCAAGTGAGGAGTCATCACGAATTGCTTTCAAGTTGAAACTTGTCTTGAAACGTGTGAACTAGGCAGTCGTCTTTTGTCGACTGCGTAGTACGCTTGCACTGGCCGCGTCACACGTGCTTGTGTTATTTTTGATATAAGATATTATTTAAAATTACCAATAATAAAATAGTTTAAAAGAATGAGTCTCAAGTGGTCTGAAAGTGTTATGATGAAATTTTTGGAACTATATCATAAGCATGATTGTCTTTGAAACCACCGAACGGGTAAATATAAAAATAAAGATGCACGACAAAATGCTTTGGGTTCTATTGTCAAGGAAATGGAAATTTCTGGTCTTACTATTGCTGATCTGAAGAACAAAATCAAGACTATTAGAACGATGTATAAAAAAGAACATTCATTGGTTTGCAAATCAATAAAAAGTGGAATGGGAACAGAGGAACTGTACCTGCCAAAATTATTTTGGTATAAAAGAGCAGATATATTTCTAAACAGTGTTACAAATACAAGAGTCACTTCATCAAATTTAGTAAGTATACTTTTCATTCTTTATTTTTTTTACATTAACTATTAATTATTCATCGTCGGGTATCATATTCAGTTGCCAGGGCACAGCACCATGTCCGGAAAAATATTCGGCATATTCATCACGCACATGAGACGCTAATGTTGTGTAGTTGCGACTTCCTAAATTAACTTGCAAATCAACTAAACCATTGGCTTCAGTACTTTGTGTTCTCCAAGAACCTAGTATAATTTGCCTGGTGTTCAGATCCTCATTATCATAAGAGCCTGTTGGTGTATATTTTTCACCAGAACTCATTTTTAGCCAATTATGTATTGCTAAAGCTGCTTTAACAATTGCGTCCACATTGGTAATTCTAACCGCTATAGGTCGTTCAAAGACTCTGAATCTAGAAACCAAAATTCCAAATGCATTTTCAACAATGCGACGAGCTCTTGATAAGCGATAGTTGAATATTTTTTGTTTTCTAGATAGATTAGTACTTCTTCCAAATGGTTTTAAAATGTAGGTTCTTAAGGGGAAAGCATTGTCAGCTACAAATACTCCACCTTTTGGAAAATTCAACTTATTCCTAATATCTTCTAATGCTGCATTGAAAGAAGATTTTGCAAAAACGGCAGCATCATTTGCTCGTCCATTTGTGCCTATATCGAAATAGCGAAAACAATAGTTCGCGTCAACGCACGCAAACAAAATTAAGCTATATGTGCCTTTGTAATTAAAATACTCTGATCCACTGTGAGGGGCATTTCGTATCACGATATGTTTTCCATATCTAACGCACCACAACAGTTAGGAAAATTCCATCGAAAGTAGTATTCCCTTTGAATTGTCTTCCATTCGTCCTCATTTTGTGGCACCTGTAATAAAAAAAATATTTTTTCATGTTGCTGCATATTTTATACATGTTTTAATAATATGAAGTATATTAATATAGTTCTATTTCTCTTTTAGAATTTACAACCTGATGACGCTGAAAACGAAACCATCGAAAATGAAGCAGAAACCCAAGATGAAAATGTATTTCCTGCATCAACATCTGCATCTGTTACTGTTGAAAATGGTTGACAGAAACTGCCAATCAGTCTACTAAAAAACAATCAAAGACAACAAATGTCTTTCGTGTTCCTCTGAGCCGTAAACGGAAAATATCTGGAAACGAAAATATTTCAACTATATGCGCAGCAATTGATTTGAAATACTTATGAAAATAAAATGAATTAAAAATATTTTTGTTTTTTATGAATAAAATGATTTAAAATAGTATATTGTTTTATATGGAAGAGAAGCAGTGCTTTTTATGGCGTGGTCTGTCGCTTAGCGACGAACGCAGTGAGTCGCTAATGACAGATGAGCCGTTAAAATTGTGGCGTGTCCGACAGTTTGCCGGACGAACGAAGTGAGTCCGGCAATGACGGACCAGCCACAAACGAATCTGCTTCTCTTCCGAATAAAACATAGTATTTTTTCTTCAAACGTTGCAAATAATACGGCGCTAAAGTGAAATGTTCTTCAACGTTATGGCGCTAAAGTGAAATTTACTTTAGCGCCATAACGCTGAAGTACTTTTTTGCTATGTTGATNCGTACTCGTGGCTATTTCGGCCAAGTTTTATATAAAACGTGTATAAAATCAGCAGAGCCGAGATACCTTCTTTGAAAGTATAAGCGACAACTAAGGCAGGAATTTCTACTATTTTAGAACCACCAGGAAGCATTTTTGGTGTGATTTTCCAAATTAACTGGTTAAAACTCTTGTTCTCATTTTGCGTAAAGCCACCAACACACCGCTTTAGAAGCACATTCTTGTTAAGCTCCTCATAAATAAGCTTGATAACTGACAAAACAAAACTTGGCAACAGAGCATAATCGTGTTTGAATGAATAATAAGAATGAATGATTATAATAAGGGTCCCTTGGGCATTTTTCGTGCTGCGGGTTTTGGTCTGTAGAGCTAAAATGGAAGTAAGTTGCCCATATAGCGTTCTTCATATTTTGTATTGAATCATAATTTCTTCTTACAGCTAGTCCGTAATAAATTGTTAATTTGTCAATAAATTTACTTGTAAGTTTTCCTTCACCAGATAAAGTTTTTTTTATCGTTTTACCTTTTCAATAAATCGCGTAAGTAGATGTCCATCCTCTTTTTTTGAAACATTTAGAATAAATTTTAAATATTTAAAATAGCTTTAGACCCTTAGAAAGGAAGAGATACCTACGTCGCTCGGTCTGGTTAACAACGTGAAATTCCAAAGGCTCTATCTCATAGAGCATTACTCCGATCGACTTGAAATTTTCGGAAAATATTTTAAAGCAATTAAGCAAGCGGATTAAAGCAACGTTCCTTCTTTTTTTACAAATACAAAAAGAGCTTCATTAGATATGAAAAATAAACTAATTCTTACAGACACTGCAAAAATTCCTTACAAGGTTAACAAGTTATTGATCGACATTTGTGCAATAGTAAAATATCATATTACAACCGTTTACACCGGGTTTGTTTGTTTTTTCTAGAATAATTGATAAGCAAGGAAAACTCATCGTACCCGAATTTAGTAGTTGTAGAGGTCGCAAATAAAAAAACGAGAGCAGAAGCATTTTTTAGAGAAAATTAACATCTTTAGAACTCGAACAAATGATTAGATAATTAATCTAATATAAAATTATTATTTTGATTATAACAAGAGAACCACTCAACCGATTTCGATAAACAATGTCTCATTCAAAAGTTTAATCATTGGCCAATACGAATGTGGAAATGTCCGATTCGAAATCTCGTTCCAATTTCCCGAAACCACCAAAATATTGCGATGGTACACGAAAATAACACAAAAATGATCTTTTTTGAGTGATCATGAGTACTCAATAATCAAGATCTATACGTCATTCGATTCGTCATAGTTTCTTCTATCGAAATGACAAAATGTTAGATCTCAATTCTCTCCCGTTAATCTTGTACAGCCCTCGGATTGACACTGCGTTCGGCTCGTTGTTTATGCATATGGACGCCCGAAAGTCTAGCCCCCCATTAAGAAAAAATTTGATTATAACTTTCAAATTCTCGAAATGACCGATTCGAAATATTTAGGGATTTTGATTAAAACACAAAAATCTCATTAATCAAACACATAAATTATCTCCTTAATTAATTGACCAATTGTAATCATCAACATCTCGATCAAAAGTATGATCTATGGTGAATACAATGATGGAAATTCCCGATTTCAAAATTCGCTAATTAAATGCGTACGGTTGTTGAGATATAAAACATTAAAATCCCTCAAACCGGTCTGTATAGTCTGTTAGGTGCCTTAATATTAGTTAAAATAGTTAATAATACAGTTTAATATAAGTTATGTGTCACCATGTCTAAGAAGAACTATGAATCATCCTAGAATCCCCAGAAACTT